CAGATTAAGTGTATTGCAACAGTCAATAGAAATGCAAATTATCCAAATTCTTCTCTTTTGAAAGCTGGTAACATAAAGTGATCATGTCCTGACTATCCCCCGCTTTCAACATCAGATGCATCTAATCTGGTCTAAGACGCTCAGAGTTGCACACACAGGCATGTTTCACCATGTTTGGACTTTTTACCTTCTGCTCCTTCTAAAGTGTGCAACAGCTCCTTTTTTTAAGTGTTTGTTGTCTTTCCCACTAATGACAGATAAATCCAGATCTAAGAGCATTTGAAGTCTGTAAACGTCAGATTCCAGACAAGTGATCTTTCTTAATACCAGTAATGACTTTTCTCAACATGGACTGGGGGAAAAATCTGCAAATCTGTTTCAGAACAGTTATTATTGTGTCTGTTTTTAGTCTAGAAACATTTGTTTATTACTTGTAAGGGTTCTGTGGTTCAGGGTGTACCTCATCTCTCTCTCCCTGACCCTGTACAGATGTGAGTAAAGAAAATGGATGAATGGACTTGTAACAAGTTACAAGTTAAAATGTAATAGCTTTTATCAAAAGGTAAAAATACAAAAAATATATTTTATATTTGCTCTTAATACTTTTAGTGTGTATGCAAATATAAACTCTAATTTCATCTTTGAGATGGTCCCACAGCTGGACTGCTGGTCAGAACAAGAGAGACATCAGTCTATGTTTGAAGTTTTACAGTTGATAAATGAATCACATGATGCTGTCTAACGCCTTAAGAGTTCTCAGTTTTGTGTGTCTATTTTCAAGTTTAATATTAGTGCAATATTATCAAAAAGCATGACTGAAATTAACAAATAAATAGGTAAAAACAGTATTTTCCACAGCATTACCTCAGATAAAAAGAAAAAAAAGATATTTTGCTAAAGGAATAATGGGTAATTCATATTACAATTAATGTAAAAGTTTTAAACTAAGATGTTTTGTGTATTGAACTTAAAGTATGCATGGTGTTTTGATACTGCCAGCCCAAATTTTAGCTCATTATCTGTATAACTGGGTAAGTTAGTTTCCGAAAAAATAAATAAATAAACACTGTGTCAACATTCTTCAGTTGGATCAATTCAAAAAGTTAATTATTTATAAATGTTCATGTAATGCATACTTTCTGAAAGTTTTATTAATTATAACTATTAATTAAACGATAGTATTTCATTAAGGAATGCTTTTATTCAACAGGACAGACGAACAAACAAGCAGACAGACATGGGCAAAAATGTAGTTTGGCTTTCGCCTTCAAGCAACAATAAATATCATCTGTCTGCGTTTCATTGCCCAACGTTTGCAGAAGGATCTTGTATGATCTGCTAGCTCTCATATAAAATAATAGCTATAACTTTCAGGTACTACCACACCAATTATTAGCACAATACCAATAAAATTATCTGCGTTATAGCCTTTTTTTTGGTTCACTAAGATCATTTAGTTCAGGCAGCCATCATAAATGAAGCTGAATCAAAGTTAAGGAGTTATAGATGTACATTAAATGAATACATTCTGAGAGGCATTGAAATGCACCCTGTGGTTGATGCTAGTTCTTGCTAACAGACAGACAAATGGACATGCATATGTATGTATGTATGTATGTATGTATGTATGTATGTATGTATGTATGTATGTACAGCCACACAGGCAGTTACATGATTGCCCAAGTGGCACAATAAGAGTCTACATTACCTTTTCAACTATGAATAAAAACAAATAAGCATGTAAACACAAAAATGTTCTAAAAATTAAAATTTTTTATTTAAATTGTGAAAATATAATTATGAAAATAACAGGCTTCTCTCAGAAAAGTCATTATATCTAGCATTTATTTGCACAAACATTAACTAAGATAAACTTTTTGCAGTGTTAGGAGACAAAATAACTCACTGAACAAACAAAGAAAACTATGTTTTATTAAAAACATTGTACATAACAAGAATTTATCCCATTTCTTTCCACACTGAGTGACTTGCTAAGTTGAGTTTTGCCACACAACGTGCTCTACAACAGAAAATGATTCAGCAAATTCAGTAGTACAGCAGTGCAGGGGCAAATGTTGAGTGATTCTTGTTTTAGTTTGTCCTCACAGGCCCCGTGCATCTGTGAAGCTCCTTGAAACAAGATGGCTCTTGCACAGACAATCCCTATAAGCATGCTTGTCTCATTTCTGTTCTGCCTCAGTGGAGTCACTGGGAAGTTTGAGCGCTCTGCAGCACTTAATCTACCAGGGGAAGAAGTGACACAGGATTGTGATCATGCAAATTCGCCTTCATGAAAAATTCAAGAGCCAAAATGACAAGCCCTGGTGTGTGTCAACACTGACAGAAGAAGGGAAGAGAGGCACATCCCCGGGAAGAAAGGGAAAAAAGAAGAAACAAAACATGACACTCCATGGAGAATTGTGAAAGCAGTGTCTCCGCCTGCTGCCTCAGGTAAAGTGGGGATAAATATCTGCATGGATGTGACCTAGCTTTGATGCTGAGGGAGGAACGCACCTGAAAAGTGCAAAAGATGACAATAGAAAGTGAAGAGACACGAGTCCCCAGTTTTAAAGAGAACACTGATTGTACAAATGCCACCAGGGATGTCAAACCTGCACAGCGTTTAGTCGAAGATCACTCCCCTCTACATGGAGATGAGACAGGTTCCAACACGTGAGGGTTTATGACGAAGCTTTGAACAGAGTGGCTCTGTGGTGTGCCTGATGACTCTATTTATTG